AAGAAAAGTAAACAACTCAAGAATTTCCTAAAAAGGAAATTTTCAAGCGCCTAGGGGGGAGTGGGAAAGAGTTTTTTAGCAAACTAATATTTATATATATTTGTATATATTGTTATATATAAACTAGATATAATATTAATTAATCTTTTATATATGCTAAACTATATATAGATTTCTTTATATATCAACTATTGCTATTAACTTTTTTTATTAAATAGAAATTAATACAAATATGTTAAAACCTTGCTTATTGCTATATCATTGATATATTTTACTAACAGTTTTATTTTATTGAAAAAAAATTAAAAAAAAATGAAGAAACATACTGAAAGTAATATTTTTTAAATAACAAATAAAGCTATGTTACTTGTTGCTTTATTAAAGATTAAATCCCTTTACTACCACCTGTAATTGAACTAACTATTTAATTTCTTATTTTCTTAAATGATACTCAAAAATGTTCAAAGTAGAATTATAACTGGTTTTGATAAAACCATCACTCTATTATTATTTAAAAGAGATAATCACAAAACTGCTCTCTTGTTTTATTTAGCTTTCAAATTTTTTTAAACAAAAAAACTATAAACAGTTTATTTCTATTAAAAGATTGACACAAGTTGATCATGCCATATTAGTATCTGGATTATTAATTTGGATAAGACTGATAACCCTTATTTATACTTTTTTTGATTATATAGTTATACAAGTTCAGGTCATAATTCAAAACCCAAATATTATATCTTTTTTTCATTATCAATACCTATAAAGCACATGTATATAATCAATAATTTAACTAGTAGTTAGCAATAATTTATTATTTTTATTTTCTATATAACTTTTCAAAGATTTATATGCTGTATATCAACTTTTATTTTTTTGATAAACTAGAATTAATGTATTGATAATAAATAAAAGTTTAATAAAAATCTTTTATATTTAATATTTATCAAAAAAAAAAAAAGAATTACAACTGATTCTTATTGTTTAAATAATAACTTATACTTTTTTACATAAAATAAATTTTATTGTCAAATACTTTCTTAAGATAAGTATTACTAGACTGGTTTATTACTGGATTGGAATAAAATTAGAACAAAAATTAATAGAAAAGACATTAGATATTAGAAAAGTAACTACTAAACTTACTTGTCAAAAATGGACATTATATATATTTTATAACTTCTGATAATTATTGTAATATCAACTAGATAATTATCATATCATAATATTTTTTTGAAAAGATTACAATCTTAATACTTGTTAAATTGATATGTAAAATAGCTTTTCATAAGAAATAGTGCCTTTAATAGATTATAATGCCAAATACTATATATGTTTTATTCAACTATCTTCATCTGGAATTAAATTAGTATCTTATGATCTAATCTGTAAAGTATTAACTATTATACTATAAATCCACAGATCATTATATATATACAGTTTGTCTAAAAAGTTTTTAAATAAATTTTCAATTTTCATTTTTATTTACAATTCAATAAATAATTAATGAAATAAAATAAAAATTTAAATATATATTAATAAAAATATAAAGAACAAATTTACTTAATAGATTTTTATTAAAATATTATTGAAATTTATTGAAATTTATTGTTATATTAAAATATATAATTTAATTAAATTACAATAAATAAAAAAATAAATTATTTATAATAATTTTAATTAATCAATTTGTAAAATAAGAACAAAATTAATTAAAAAATAACTTTTATTAAATTTTAAGTTGTTTATTTAATTTTTTAATTAAAGAAATTTAGCAAAATTTAATATAAAATATAAGATTTTTTTAAAATTTATATTAAAATTAAAAATTAAAAATTTTTTAAAATTATTTTTATAAAATAAAAAATAAAATAAAATTTATAAAATTTAGTTGTATATTATAAAAAACTTTTTTGGAATTTTTTATTAATCAAATAATTTTTTTTAAAAAATTTTATATAGTAAAAATTATTTTTCCATCCATAATTTTATTTATATATATAAACTTATAAAAAAATTTTAAACAAACTTTTTTTGGTTTTAAAATTAAAATTCAAAATAATTTTATTAATAAAGTATTAAAAAAAACTTATTATTTTATTTTTTATATTTTAAAAAATATATCTTTAAAATTTTATAACAATTAAATAAATAGTTATTTATTTATTATGAAAAATATTTGTCCAAAGACTTTTTAGACAAACTGTATATATATAATTCAAAAATTTATATATTTAAAGATTAACATATTATTATTTAATAATTTGAATATACAATAGAAGTTTTTGAAAAATAAAAAAATTTTTATAATAGTAAAATAACAATTTCAATTACAATAATCTTTTGAGATCACTTATTTGATATTAATAAGGCAATCTATTTTCTTAACTTTTAAATTTGTTTCATATGAAATTATTATTTTATTTTTTTTGATAATTTACATTGACTTGCAAAAAAAAAAAAAAAAAAATTTCTTGTACTATAAATATTTTTACTAAATAATTTTATATGTAAAATACTGTATGTTATTGTTAAAATAATATACAGTACATGCCATGGAAATATTGTCAAAAACGCATGCATAATCTACAGAAAGTGACGGGGCGTCCTGTTAATTTTAATGCGGTAATTGCGTATGCGTGTGTCGACTGTGAGTAAAAATGGGTCAGGGTTTTGGAAAGAGAACAATCGCCGTATCAAGATTGTTTACGATTACGTCCCGCTCGATCCAAGGAGAAATAGAAAAAGGAAAAAATTATTACCGTCCTATCTAATCTTATTGATTATGATGTTAAATGCAAACGAAAGCCTTTCAGAGAAAAGGATCCTTATTTGGAAGGCAATTCCTGACACCGATTGTTCTTTTCTTCTTGATTCCTGTTACATTTTCATAGTCATTATTTTATGAAATTGAGATGCCAAGTACTGAATGAGTAAGTTATCTTTGCTAAACAATCGAAAAATTACGTAACGTTGATGGAAACGCCACAAAGAAGGAGTATCCGTGAAAAAAAGGGTACGTGTATAATTCAGAAGAAAATTCAAGGATCAACAAACCACATTACATGGAGTATGTTAGATAAGCGCATGGTTTTTCCCGCACGCATGTGTTTTACAAGCAATACATATGTAATTGTTTTTTTTTTTGGTTGTACGGCTTCACATGGGAATGTGGACACGGACAAGCGAGATTCGCTATATTTGTTACACGCACGCATTATCCACTTTCACGCAAGATCTTTCAAATGATGTACAATATACAGTACATACATGTTATGTTTGACCGTCAATCGTCGTAACAAAAATGTGGTGGTCTAACAAATTTAACGATAATAGGTTGGTTGCACGTCACCCGCTTACTGCGCACGGTAAAATAGGCCGAATGGTTCAGGTGCATCGTTGTGGAATCGTTTAAATCAATAAACATATATCGACCTTCACTTCTTTTAAAAAATACACAACTACCGGATAGATGAGTTCAAGAAGTTGTGTTATTGTGTAAATGATGGAATACATTAAAAAAAAAGGTCGAAAATAGAAATAACCATTTTGGAAAAATAAAATACAGGAAAAATAAAAAAAGGATAAGAAAATTTACAAAATCCTTTAGCAATCACTTGTGCATTTATGTAAATCTAATGAATATGCAAACTGAACACTAACCTTCCCCCAAATACGATTCTAAGTGGAAAAGAAAAAAAGTATATGTCCTACATGATATAAATCAGTATCTAGGAAAATAAGCTATACAAGGAACTATGGTGAAGAATGTGCATACAAAAAAGGAAAGAATTATTTGTTTTTTTTTTAAAAGAAGGATAGAGTCGAACAACAAGGCACTACCTCTGCGATATCCTTGATGATTACTTTTTTTTTTTTACTCAAGCACGAGAGGCCACGGCATCGATTTGATGATGAGACTTCTGTTGGGTGACTGACGGTATTGCGTCCATTATAGCTCTGTATAGATCGTCAGCCGCATTGGGATTAGAAAGCTATATAAATAGCACGGTAAGTAATGATCGCTTAAGCAATAGTGTTCGTAAGCAATGAGATTGTCCATAGAATTAACGCAACGAACCTTAATGGCGAAATGAACAGGTGCGGTGTTGTTTTCTTCAAACGCGAACAATCTTACAAATTTTTCTTGTGACCTTTCGATGTTCATACCATGAAATAATGCAACATTCAAAATCACTCGTAATACACCGTCAGCGCGCATCACTAAAAGAAAAAAACGAAAATTTTTTAATATAGACATATCTTGTAGTATATATTTTTTATTTTATAAATAAATGTACGTATAAAAAATATATTTCATTTTTCTAACCTAGCCGCGGAGATTTTTCATAATTTTTTTGAAAGTTGAGTTTCAAAATTCCAACTCCTCGTTCTTTCCATTGCTGCTCCCGATCCATGCAATATAACTTTGCTCTAACCGAATATCGAGTAATTTCATTTTCTTCTCCAGTCAATACTAAATTTTAAGATTCATGAGCTAGAATCTAACAACGATTCCTAAAAAGTAATCTACCAATAATAACACTGATCGATCATACCTTCTTTCTCTTGTAGCAAGGGTTTCGCACCCATTCCAAAAGACATTCCATCTTCGGTGTCGCTTTCTCTATCATTTTCATCTTCATTATATGAAGTGTCATCGAAAATTGAAGTTGCAGGAGACTCTTGAGTGCCAAATTTCCCCATCATTGAATCTCCAGTATTTATAAATCCTGAACCAAATACGTTTTTACTCAGCGGAGAAGACATGTAATTTGAAAATCCGAGCGGCTTCAAGCAAAATATTAATTGAAATATTTACTCATTGAAACACTATATACATCAAATATTCTTCGAGTGGTCAAATTTGCATTGAGAACTTACTTTGTTCTGTGATTGAGACGAGCTCGAAATTGAACTACCAAATATTTTGGTGGTTGTCGATATCGCTTTCGGTATGAAACCACTACCAAACGTTCTAGAGTTCTGACCAGTTGAAGTTAGATTGTCACTAAGATTTTTCTTGCTCGCTATTTCGGCACCAACTCCTAAGTCGGAGGTTTTATTTGAATCCTCTGTAGAACATTGCGATGGTTCTTTTATTGTTGAATCGTTTTCGCCCGAACCTTCCGTGCTATCAACGACTTTGATATCTGACTCTACGGTAGGTGAATTATCAACTTGTTTTACTTCCAACTCATGTGATTTCTCTGCATTTTCAGAACTGTCGTTAGCAACCTTACTGGAATCGAATTTGTAAGCCTCGTTCCTCTGTGCTAGCTCGATGACTGTGAAACTTTGGTGCCTTAACAACATGGGTTTATCATTATTTTTTGTTTCGGAATAAACCGCGAAACTCTCATGCCTTGGAATCGATTCCGCCTGCATATGATTTGTAACCGTCTTGGTAAGTTTCCGGGGTATGCTGGTTTCCTTTCCTGTTTCAACTTCGTTGTCTACGTACAATTCAGTCGCCGCACGCTTTTTTGATGAGTTGACCGACGAAATTTCACCTTCGCCGGGAGCAATGTCCTTTGACACGGATTTTTCGTTACCAGACGTATCACTAGATCCCTCAGCAATTTCACCGTTGTCGCCAGGCGGTGCCGTTGATGGGGGTTCATTGGCTGATGAGTCAACATTAATAATAACTCCTGAAGACTCTCGTTCTCCGTTGCCATGTGCATTGACTTTCATTGTCTCCACTCTTTTTTGTAAAGTTCTCATCGTCTCGCCGCCTGGTGTCCTCGGAAAATCTTCCTCTACGTCTTCAGCAACTTTGTCATGTCGCCTGATCGATTCAGATTTTCCTCAGTAAAATTTGTAAATGTCCCATCGTTTGACTAAAACATCGAATTACAAAAAAATCCTACTTCTTTTTTGATCGAACCGTCGTTTTGTCGCCTTCGTCTGAGGAATCAGTTTGAGTCTGAAAAAAATAATAATAATAAATAAAAGGATTGAGTTGAAGGAGTAGGAAAAAAAAAACAAAAAACTTTTCATGTATGCATCAAATAACTCTACCACTAAGGTCTCTGTCTCAGCGATTTCGAGTGAGCCTTCACGTTCCCTCTTACGTTTGATATCCTCTACAAAAAAAAAAAAGAAGGTTAGGTTGTCAAATCAAAATGCAAATCAGGTGGGATCATTGTCTACAGATTAAAATATCTACCGAACGAGGGATCCGTGGAAGTAGTCATTTCGTTCAACTGAATAATACACAAGTTAAAGAGCTCTGGTTTGAGCGAATAAGAAAAAAAATTTTGTGTGTACACACAGGTCTTACGAACTCGGTATATTCGTCAATAATTAATTGAGATGTTTGTGTTTGTGTTTATCAATAACATAACTATCACACTATCTGTTAAATAATTTATATATAACTGATAAGGTATTTGCTCTTCCCCGCACTTGAAATTTTCTCACCCAGCACAAATAGATCATCGTTAGAACTAACCAACCAACCCGAATGATTTTTTGGCCAATCGTTAAACGTCAGTGCGTCATTAGCTTACTGCGCCAATCGAATTTTCAGGGTTCAGCAACAATAGTAAACTTATTCGCTCTTTCTGATTTCATGCTTCTAAGAAAACAAGCAAGAAGAGGGAATAATTTTCAAGGATGACGAGTCAACCTTCAGGAAATTCACAGATGTCATCGCAACGAGACAAAGTTCCGCGCGATGCAAAAGTCATGGAACTCATTCTTCGGTCCGCGGGAGTCGAGGATTTCGAGCCAAAGGTAGTTCAACAGCTGCTGGAGTTTGCTCATCGTAAAGTATCTAAAAGACCTTTTCTGTACATTTTGCGCTTCCATTATTATTGACCGTTTGTTTACTTCATTATTATTGTATCATTATCATTGCATTATTGTTACTTTTATATTACCCATTATTTTATGATATTATTATTATCCATGAAAATCGTTTGGTGACGCCTGATATTATAGGATATACCATTGACGTGATCCAAGATGCGTCAGCGTATGCCGAACATACGGGGAAGAATGAGATAGACATTGAAGATGTTAAGTTGGCGATACAAGGTCGCATCAATCATTCGTTTGTCGCACCACCACGACAAGAGGTATTTGACGCTGTCCCATTATGCGATCAGGTTAAAGTCGTCCATTGTCTAATAGTGGTCCAATTCTTTGCAGTTTTTGGTGCAACTCGCCAGGGAACAAAATAAAGAACCATTACCATCGGTGCCTTTAAAATATGGATTGCGCTTGCCTCCTGAAAAGTATTGTTTGACCGCATTGAATTTTCAACTCGTACCCGAGGTGACTCATTCATATTTTCGTTCCATTAAATTACGAATTCCTTTCGATTTATCGTGCAGGTACTTATACTAATCCTTTTTATTCTTTTGTCCCATCCTTGTAAAATAAGCAACCATTATCATTATCGTCGCAACGATACATGGAAGAAGATCCCACGTTATCCCTAAAAGTGGAGGAACCACAACAAATAGTCTCATCAGAAACAGATGATGCGATGACGGGAATTCAACATAATGATATTGATGTCGGTACCACTACCAAGAACAATTTATCGTCTGATGAAATGGATTACGACATGCCAGATACTTCAGATCCAACAAGTTTGGAGAAAGGTTCCTACAAACGGCCTGCAGAAGATGATGAGTATGATGATTTTTAGAACACCACTATACGAAAATTCCTGTACGACAATATGATTTTTCTTCTCAATTGTTTTGAGAATAATAATGTTATGGTTAATAGTTACAAAAAAAGAACAATTCGGCGGAATGATTTTAATTTGAATTGGTGCAAGTCAGGAAGGCGCCAATTATTAAATATATTTTTAAATATAATGAGGGCACGTGATCTCATTAACTTGATGCATAATCATTCCCTTCACTTTCACCATTCTCCTCACTCATGTCTTTGATAATTGTATTCTTTTCCATTTTCCGTTCATTTGCCTGATTAAAGAACATTTCTGCCAATTGTTCACTCGTGGTAATGTCTACTACTGACTTGTCTTCTCTGACTCTCACAAATCTTGGAAATCTTAAAGACAAGCCCTTATTATAATCCACCTTACCAACCGCCGCTCTGTAAATCGGTGAGATCGTTATATCGGCACCTTTTTTTTTGAGCAAGTGGAATATATATATATATTAATGATTTTTTTAACAGTATTATTACAACGTATGCATGCGTACCTTTGACTTCCCAAACTTCCTGGGGTTCGAACCAAACTAGTAAGGAAAAAAAATGGTCAAAAAGCAATTCTCAACAACAACAAAAAAAATTTAACAAAGTTGTATGATAAAGTTGTACCGTCTGGCCTTATTGCATCATCTACATCAAAATAGGATTTTTTTGTCTCCAAAATGTTTCCATTTTCTTTGGAATAATTAAGCTTCATTTCCGTGTAAAATTGATCGCTGAATCCTGACATGCACTTACAAACACCTTCAAATGTTCCGGCATCGGGATTATAAACCGCTAATAGAACAGGACTCCACCATCGAGCCTTTCTGCCGTTGCCATGCCAAGCCCCGATTGGCTACATTTTGTGATTTCACAAAAATCAGAATGATTAGAAATAACTCTAGTTAATTCAGCGAATCAATCGGAGTAAAATAATAAAAATTTACCACGACGTCCAAGCTATCTCCAATTCCATTAATATAATCTTTCTTTACTTTCAACCAACTTTCAAGTCTTTTGTCTTATCGAAAAACGCTGATTATTAGCGCCAATGCACACTGCATTTGATGTACAATAATAAAATACAAACCAGGTTCATAGCTGGCTAACAGAGTCGTTCTTTGGCGGTTTTCTGAACTCGATTGTATATCATCCAATACCTTGACCATTATTCCTTCGCATCCAAATTCTGTCGAATTCTTAAAGAAAGCGTGAACCTCTTCAGGATCCGATGACTCTATTTGTGTCACGAAATCGAATCGACCATCGATTTTTACAAAATTGTCATGCAAAAGATCGCGACGTTGCCGAAGGGATGATTTCAACAATGACTTGTAAACAAGCAGCATAACCAAGAGGACTCAAAACAATTGTGATAAAAATAAAAACGTCCAAAAAATTATGCTCGAGAGTTTTTACCTGCCCGTTAAAATACATGAGGTCAAATGCAAAAACGCAGACGGGCACTGAAATTTTCGATAACTCAACATTCTTTTTCGTTCGATTCGACAACTTTTGAAAGTTTTGTAACTGCCCATCAGAATTAATTGCAACCACTTCCCCATCCATGATGAATGAAGTGACATTGTCAGAACAAATTCGAGGTATTATTTGAACTATATCTGGAAATTTTCCCGTCATATTCTTGTCGAATAGAGCGATAAAAGTGGATCAATGTCAGAAGCAAAAAGCAATAAAGCTTTAACACAAGATATTACCATTCACCTTACCTCCAAGTGACGACTAAATATTGTAACGCTACCATCCTGATCCATGTGAATCTGAGCACGTTGACCATCATATTTGTATTCACAATTAAGCAATTTTCCTTCCGATTTTTTAAACACTTGTGCTAAATCTTGCGTGATTTTACCCAACATGGGTCTGAGAGGTACACCTGAAAAAAACAAAAAAGAATTAGGTCCAAATAAAAAAAATATAACATTGATAAAAAAATCTTTAATATTACCAACAGTCAAGTGACAAATGTCTAATAATGTATCAATCGGATTCTCCAATAAGCATTTGACGATACCATTATAATTAGGGAATTGCGCGTAACACTCTTTTAAGAGGTTTTCTGATGACCTCAGTTTTGACTTGATGGTTTCCATCGAATCCCTTTTAACGTCAACGTTAAGCGGAAAATCTCGCTCGTCAGATGCAATCATGCCGCGTGGCCTGGTGAGACAAAACGCTCGCGCGAGTGCAATTAAACAAGTCGTTCTTAAAGCTCCAATTCGCAGATTCTGTATTAACGTCCTGGTCAAATATCTGATTTCTTCCCCGTTGCATGAAATTAAAAGCTTCTTGACCAACTCGGTCTTTTGATTTACAACCCCGGAGCCTTTTAATCTTGATATGGAACGTAGAGTATTATAAACAAAATCGATTGTCAGAGGTTTAGGTTCCATCAGAGTCCGAATTGAAACTTTTGCCATGTAAGCAACATCTCCCCAATCTCCGTGCTGATTATAGTAACTTTTTAGGGTCTTTGAATTACATGCTGTCACCGAAGTGATGGCTTTCATCAAGACCTGTGACCCGATTCCGAGTTCAATTCCTTCGTATGGTGGAGCTAATGAATTTGACAAAAGCCACACGGTTGGTAAAACGTTCTCTGGATCATGATATATAATAGTGCGTAACATATTTGTCAAGTAGTCAACAATTTTAATTCGACTTTTAGTTTTGTCAACAAGGGAAAATGTGTTGGTCAAGAATTGGTAAGGTGTTTTATGAAAATTCCATTCAATTTGGGATGGATCAAACTCCAAAATGTTCTTATCAACTGAAATGACGTTTGCAGTCCCAGCATGGACTTGAATGCTACCGCTGTTCAGCGAATGACTACTTCCAGATAAGGTAATTTCTCCATTCGCAAATACTGACCCAATTTTTGGTGGACTATGAAAAGCACTTGGTTTTTCTTGTATTGTTTCTTCTACCTCATTGCTATCGGAAGTCTCATTCAATTGTGCATTATCGCCGTCCTTTTCTAAATTTGCTTCGTCCAAAACTAAATGTTCTTCAGCTGCCGTTAGAGTCTTAACGTCGTCTTTTGCGACTACTTCACTCTGTTTTTTAAAGAAATGTTCTAGACCAAACTGTTTCTTGTCTGAGACGTTTTTCGTTTTTTTTTTCACCGGAAACCTTTGAGAAATCAACTTTCTTTTCATGGTTTTGTTCTGACAAGCAATTGATTACGTATGTCCATACAATTACGGTTTTCTTCGCGACGTGACGATATTGCGCCACTCACGTGATAAACACGATTCAATAAAAAAAATTTTTGCACTCTGAACGAATTTTTTTTTTTTTCCCAATGTGCAGCATTGAAGAAACACTAATTGATATTGAAACTACCAAGAGTAGACCTAGTGACAAGAATTGCATTAAATGCAAGACCTCAAGGGCAACCATTCTAATTCGCCATTCCACCTATTGCAAGCGATGCTTTCAATACATGATTGTTGGTAAATTTCGCAAGAACATGGAAAAGTATCGAACGACTAACTCGCAAATTGGAGAAAAAGTCATGATCGGCTTGTCTGGAGGACCATCGTCCAGAGCGATGCTTCAACTACTGAATGATTATAATGAAACTTTGCCACATGAAATATCAAAGAAACAATTATTTGCGGATGTCTTGGTCTGTCACATTGATGAGAGTGCAATATTTGACACGCAGGATAGCACAATGGATCGAGTTAAGAAAATTGCTCAAGAATACCGGTACCCTTTCGTTGGGTTACCAATCGAAAATATATTTTCGGCAGATTATACATCAAGCGGGGCTTACAAGGAAGTTCTCAATGTGACTTTTGATCAATCTAAACAACAAGAAATCAATGAGTTTGTCGCCACAGTTGGCCAAAACGATGGGCATTCAAATAAAGAGAAGTTACAGCTGTTACTTAGAGGTATATCTAAATTGACCGCCAAAGAAGACTTTGTGTGGTACTTGAAACAAACTCTATTGATTCATACTGCACGTAGAACAGGATGCACGCGGCTATTTTTAGGAGATAGTTCAACTCGGTTATCTATCAAGATCATATCTTTGACAAGTAAAGGGAGAGGGTTCAGCTTGCCTCTGGAAATCTCTGGAGAGAACCAATGGTTTGAAGATGTGTCGATCGCAAGGCCGATGAAAGACATAACTTTAAAGGAAATTTGCATTTACAATCATTATTTAGGTTTCGATAATGTTTTCACTTCCTCGTTGACATCTATGCTACCACCTAAGGCGAGCATTGAGAGGCTGACCGAAGATTTTATTGTCGGTCTGGAAAAGGATTATCCATCCACTGTGAGCACCATTACAAGAACAGGGTCTAAATTGTCAATTCAAAATTCTGTCGATAAGGAAAGTCATTGTATGATGTGCTTAATGCCATATCAAAAAGGGAACAAAATTTGGAAAAACAGAATAACTGTGATGAGAACTCCATCGTTACCCTCCACAAAAAAAATGCCGACAGACCAGAATGCAACTATATGTAAAAATGAAACATCGTCTTGCTCACAAGATGCGTGCTGTTCTCAGAATGATCGCACTAAATTTGACCAAAATGTCGACATCTCTGACATATTGTGTTACGCATGTCGTGTCAATATGCGTGATGCCAAAGAAATCGCGCTTCCTCCGTACGTTGCCGAGGAGGCTGAAAAGGAAAATAGAAGAAGAAAATTAAGAAAACACATTGAAGAGTTTCTGATAGATGATAATGAATAATTTGAGTGGTTAGAAATAACCGAGATTATGAAAAAGTAATAACCAATGTATTTTTAATTTAATTAAGGCTATTCAAGTTTAATTTCGAATGACGCTAAATTATAGATAATGTATATAAACGATCTTTAGAGAAACATTTTATAAATTATTTCTACACGATCCAAATAATTTCCATTCAAAAATATTTTTACAGTATATATTTGTATTTTGCTGTATGAACAAAATTTGCCAAAAAAAAACAACAACCAATTTTTTGCACTGAATGATTTAATTGAACATTTGAATATCATGAAAATAATATTCATAATAAATAAGGTATTAAGAGTTCATACTTTATCAACACAACTGATAAATTTGTTTGAGAAATACTGTATGTTTTCTTATATAGGATGTTGATTATATAAAATGATATTTAGTTATTTTATAAAGTACTGCTAATTGGATCTTGGAAAACCTAAAAAATTATTATTGTAATATACACATGTTTTAATAAAAGGTTTTGTTTTGGTGCGCAGTAACTACATAAACAACAATTGGTGTTTTCGGGGTCGTTCAACAATGAATGCTGCAAATCTCGCAAAATGGTAGGTGATTATGCTATTTTACGCGACTCGCGTGTGAGTAAATTAATTCAAAGTACAATCATTCCAGTCTTTTATTTCAAGTTTAAAAGGCAGACTCTCAAAAATTGATTTGGAAAATTTGGCACGCAAATGTGGTTTGACCATTGCCCGGCACAACAAGACATACGTGTCGAATAAACTTTCTCATCATTTACTAGTAACATATCTTAAGGAACAGGTTGATTGTGCAGAAAGATTGCTGCTACAACCAGATGAAAAACTGAAATTAGGGTCGATTGCCGGTAAACTTAACAAGGCATCAGAATCACAACTTGAAACCTATAAAGTCGTTGGATCTTCACTACCAAAATCAATTATATCAATTGACGTAGGAATCAAGAATTTAGCATATGTCCACATGACATGCAGTGGTAAAATTTTAGATTGGAAGACTTTCTCTCTGAATCTCGAATCTTCTAAGCCAAAGGATTTTATCGAAAAATTACTTCCTATAGTACACCAGGTATTTTTGCCAAAGCAATTTTCATCAAACTGTGATGACAACCGGGAGACCGTTGACATGTTTATTATTGAACGCCAAAGTTTTCGCCAGAAAGCATCAGCCCATCTGATCAACGTAATGATTGTGGAATCGATGTTGTTTGCCCTCTTGAGTTACAAAAATCATAAGAAAGTACAAAGTAGCTCCCCCTTAGTTGTAAACGGGTATTTGGATATGATCATGAGTATAGAAGATGATAGCATTAACAAAAAACAGCATTATCTGGAAGGAATCGACATCGCGCATTGGTTACACGCTCAAGGGAAGAAATCAGAAATTAAAAAATATCTCAGATCGCATAAACGCACAAAGAAACTTTCCAAATTACTAGTTGACTACTGGATAAAAGATCATCCGAATCTTTGTTCGGAGGAATTTTCAAAATATTTTAGTGAGGCTGAAAAAAAGGATGACCTCGCGGATTGCTTCATCCAAGGACTTGTCTACCTGAGCTGCAAAAGATCTTCTATACTGGAAGCTTACAGGTGGATTCTCGAACAATAGTGGATACAAAAATAAGCGTACTAATAATACAATTATAAATAATAATATACAGTGCTAGGTAATCGTTGCTATCTTAAATAATAATATTCTTGTAGATGATGAATTTACGAACCCGCACTACATCAGAAAAATCTGAACTCAATCTATTCACTTTTGCGCCATACAGAGACCGAGTGCAAAACATCTTTAGATACTAATGTCATCGTCATCTATATCTTCTTCTAGCCTTCTTTCAATGCTCAGACGTTTTAAATCAAAGACATCTGTTATTGCTTGCTTAAAACACTGGAAATTGTAATCTATCAACCCATGCTTTTCAAGATTGTCAGATGGAATAAGACAAACCAATGCAAGAAATCTGCATCGAAAAATTAACTTGCGTCAATAAATTGATCTTTCTATAATAGTAATAATATAAGAATTTTAGATACCTGTTGACGCCTTTAAGGTACAACACCATATCATTATGCAGCCTAACTAATGATGATGCGTCACTTGCAGTCTCATCGGTTGTTGGTTGGATTGCGCTTTTAATACTTTGCGACATTCCGCTATCATTACGTGTGCTTGTTCGCTTACTTGATTCCACAACAAATCATTGATTACCAAATTAATATTGCATCAAAACCACGAGTCTTTCATTGATATTCAACCCATTGGTTTACCTGTATATTTCGGAAATGTCAAAAATAACATCAATCATCTCACTGCAAATTTCGTAAGATTGAATATCTACAGGGGAGCTATCTGTAGCTATGTAAATCTTGGAGTTGATGTCAAATAAGAATGCCTTTTCTATTCCAGAATTCTATTTGTAAGTTGGAGAATTAATTGGATCAAAAATCAATCGGTGACGTGACTCGCGTTAAAATAATGTTAACTTACCGCGCATAATATATTCAACAAGTTTTCTAATGTTGGCAATTGCGGTATAAGTTTTTGAATTACTTTGCTGAATGCTTCAAATATTGAGCGATCATAAATGCTGGTTAAGTGAAATCCCAATGAAACCTTCTCCAATCCAAAATCTGCCAATTCGTCCGTAGTTCTTTGATGAATATCACGCTGGGTTTCGATCTTGTATTCATCGGACAACGCATCAACTTTGTGTATGAACACTTCAAAAAAAAGATTAGGGTTGACTCTATAGGCTCGTGTCACCGTATCGTGAAGTCGCGTTAAAGCCTCCATGTAATCATCCTAATTTTCATGGAAGTTCACTTTATCACGGATTAGGTAATTTGCACTCAAATGAAGGCCATTCAGCCAACAATATATAAACTCACTTGAGCGTCTATAACAAAAATTAATGCTCCATATTCTCCAAAAATAGCATTTGTATCAAAAGTTGGATCGAAAAAATCGAGCTGTCCCGGAAAGTCCCACACGTGAAAGTCGATGAACGACCTGAATTAAATGGATAACTTGTGTTATCTAATGTTGGAGAATTGCAATAAAAATTGAAATACAAGTAAGCATGGTTACTGGAAGTCTTCTTTGATTATGATATTGGTAGATTCAAGGAAAAGTGTGTCATTCGCGTTCATACTATGGAAAACCACTTTTTGGATGCTAGACTTTCCACTCCTATAATATAATTGGTGAAGTTAGGCAAAGTTTAAACGACTTCTTTCTAAGATAATAATTTTGGGTTTTTTTCTTACCCACCTCCTTAGGCCCATTATCAATATACGCGGTCGATTATCTTGAACGGGATCGTCAATTCCGTCTCCACCCCTGATGCAAGACGAATGTTCACCAAACGTAAATTTACTAAATAAGAAACTTTTAAAGGTACCTACCCCATATCAACGATAGAGTCTCCAAGACTATATTGATCGTCTAAGGATTGCTAAAGAAAATGCATTGTTCAATACCATTTGCAATGTCACCAAGAACAATATAATATTTATTTTACTTACCGGCATTTTGATGGCTTACAATTCAAAAAAAAGCTCAAATGGACTATAGGAAAAAAAGACCTTTATGTAGTAATTCGGATAATCAGTCGATCCCTGATCTCATCACGGTGTTAATTCGGAGAATTGTTTGATTACCCTGAAGGCGCCAGGTATTACATGACGAAATTGTGTGTTTGTTTGGTGTTGCAAGTCGCCAGATATTTTTTCGCCCTGATTTAATTTCCCAAAAAGGAAATATATACCCAATAATTCGAATTTAATAATAATAACTTTAATGCGATCATGCAGGTTTAACAATACCAATGTATTATGTTCATATAGTAGTAGTATTAATAGTATTCAGTTTTTTAATACCAAAGTGTTAAAATTTTAATAAAATAATTAATTATTGTAATCATAAAATCTAAAAAATTCATAAATTTATATTATATTCATAATATATAATTATTTTATAATTCTTAACCATATTAAATAAATTGATAACAATATTTGTTTAGAAAAAAAGCTATACAACATTTAATTTTTTTTTTTTTTTTTTTTTTTAATCCCGCAATCAGGTTGGTGTCGTTTATTTATTTAATCATAAAGAACCATTAC